AGGCTGGTAGAAAGGACTACACTTTACCAAAGTCCTTTAGACCTATAAGCCTATCTTCCTTTCTTCTTAAGACATTGGAAAAGGTTATAGATAGATATATAAGGGATGTAGCTCTAGCTACGAGGCCCATACAATACAACCAGCATGCTTACCGCAGAGGCAAATCTACGGAAACAGCCCTGATCAGTGTCATTGACAGGGTCGAAAAAGCACTGGAGGATAAAGAAATAGCTCTTTGTGCCTTTCTAGATATTGAGGGCACCTTCGACAGTAGCCCCACATCACTGCTGATTGGGGGCCTAACATCTAAAAATGTTGACCCCACAACCATCAGATGGGTGAAGTCGATGCTCTCAAACAGAAAGGCAAAAATAGCGCTGTTTCAAACCTCGATTGAGGTTGCAACCACAAGAGGCTGCCCACAAGGAGGTGTTTTGTCACCCCTTCTTTGGACTCTTGCGGTTGACCAACTATTGTACAAAATGGCAGACCTACGCATTGACACATTGGGTTATGGTGATGACCTTGTGATCATTGCGAGGGGCTTTTGCCAAAGTACTTTAAACCTAAACACCATAAATAACTGGTGTAGGGATAACAGTATATCAGTTAATGCTGATAAAACTGTTATAATACCCTTTACCAAAAAGAGACGGTTGGTCAAATTAGTCCAACCAAAACTTAATGGCAAAGAAGTCCATTTTCCACGGAAGGTAAGTACTTGGGCATAACAATCGACCAAAAACTAACGTGGAACTCACTTCACCTTTAGCAACGTATGCCATAAGGAAAAAATTGCTTTAGGTACGTGCAGTCATTTGGTCAGGAACAACTGGGGCTTGCGTCCCAGTATGGTCCTATGGCTGTACAGCAGCATAGTGAGGCCGATTCTCACCTCCGCCTCTATTGTCTGGTGTAACAAGGCCAACCAAGAGATGAGTGCGGACAGACTAAATAGTCTACAAAGGACTGCCTGCTTAATGGCAACTGGAGCTATGCGATCATCGCCTGGAGCGGCTCTTAATGCACTGCTATGCCTGATGCCCCTTGATCTTTATCTAGACAAGGAGGCGAGGGCTAGTTTATATAGGATTAACGCCCAGTTCGGTCTGAGCTTGCTCTCTTACAGATTGAGATCCACGCTCAAGTCAATTAAGGAATCACCGGTCTTATGCCTGATCTCAGATATCATGCGTCTACTACACACTTTTGATAAAAAGTATGTAGTGAAATTACCCTCCAGATAAGATTGGCTGAATGGCCAGGTTATCTGTGAGGTCGGTAGCATTATATGGTATACCGATGGGTCTAAAATGGGCCTCGACATAGGCTTTGGAAATTACGGGGAACGCCCAAATTCAAACTTAGTATGAATTTGGGTAGATACACCTCTATCTTCCATGCAGAAATTTTCGCCATACTTCAGTGTGCGGAAATCAATCTGCAAAAACACTACGTCAACCATATAATTTACATAAACTTAGTGAACTCGAAGCTAGTTGGAGACTGCATGAACCGTTTAAACGCCCTGGAGTGTAACAACAAGGTCATCTTAAGATGGGTTCCGGGTCACGAGGGTATTGTAGGCAAAGAATTTGCCGACAAACTTGCACGAGAGGGCTCAAAGTGCACACAGTTTAGACCTGAGCCATTTTGTGGAATCCCAAGAAGCGTACCCCGATTGACCCTTGAAACTCTTTGTCACAATAAATCACTTAAGATATGGTCTGACACATCAGGCTTAAAACATTCTAAAACCTTAATCCGGGATTTTGATCGTAAATTCACTTCAGAAGCCCTGGGATTAAGTTAAAATAAATTGCGCATTCTGGTAAGAGTCCTAACTGGACACTGTCGTCTCAAAAAGCATATGTCCATCCTGGGACTAAGCAACTCAAGGATGTATCGGTTCTGTTCCATAACGGAAGAAACGCCTCCACACATCCTAACTAATTGCGGACCCTTAATGCGCAAACGTAACACTCATCTGGGGAATTATGTACTCCGCCCAGAAGAAGTGAAATTGCTCACGGCTAAGCAACTCCCTCTAATCAGTGAAGACATAGGGCTTAGCCGTCAACTATAGCCATAGCAGCGATCACAATAGATCTTGTAGGTCTCTTTCCCTAGACCTGCACAGCTCCTCGCATATAATTAAAAAATACGGATGTTATCCGTTCTTATGTCCCACACAATTTCACTGCACTTAAAATTCCCAGAAACGTAATAAATGCCCCCAAAGTTCATAATACCTTATGCACGATCTGTGCCTCACCACTGCTTGCGACATAGGCCATCTCACCAGTATACATTACCGCGACGGTGTCATTATGCACACTGTCGTGCGCTGATTCTCCGCTACGTCAAATGCACAGCGCAATCAACGCTCTGAGGACTGCACCTAGGGTTGCCAACTTTTTTTTGACAAAAAAAAACGTATAAAATGGTTTGGATAGGAAAAAAATAAAGTATTAGGAAGAAAAAAAAGTAGTTTTCATATTTTATGTTTTTATTGCTTTAAACACGTATTTTTGTGTGCTTTTAGCACATGCTAACAATTTTTTGTTGTCTTTAAATGTTACAAAGCTTGTTTGACAATCAGTGTTTAAATTTAAATAAATAAACAATTCGTTTTTTATTAAATTTCACATCTGACATCTAATAGGCCTTTCCGATTCACGCCAACAGCGCTGTCAGCGCCAATAACACGTTCCGAATCAACCATAAGCGCGCTGATGACAACGCTAACGCTGCCCATGGTCGCGAGCGTAATCACTGTTGGCGCTGTTGGCGTGAATCGGAAAGATAGGTAACATTTCGTTCAGCAATTATAAATCGATAAGTACCCATGATGAGTATGTTTTACGCCTCACAGTAAAGGTATAAAATAAAGTATTTTTGCATACTTTATTTGTATGTAAAAGTATAAAGTATAATTACCAAAAATAAAGTAGGATACGTTACTATAAAGCAACGGTCAGCAACAGGCGGACCGCGGTCCGTTTGCGGACTGCGAAAGGTTGAACCTCGGACCGCCAAATATAGTAATGTATTGTATGTCAAGTATAAATAAATACGTAATATTTTTAAAAATATTTTAAAAATGCCAACAACTGATATGATTTTATAGTTGCAAACGCATCGGCATAAACATGGCGCCGATGTCGTCCCGTGCGCTTTGTTCATACGTATGGCTCCCTTTTTAGGGTATATATATATATATATATATATATATATATATATATATATATATATATATATATATATATATATATATATATGTGTGTGTGTGTTCTGTGGTATGGCAACTCAGAAGACCATTTGCAAGCTTGCCTACCGCATAGCGAGTCGCCAGGTATTGTTAACACGCGAGCGAGAGCGAGACGGCATGTACTAGCAACACCGCACGCGAGCATCGAAATCGGGGGTGGGGTCGTGCGGGCGGGAAGAAAGCAGACTGTTAGTCGGTCGGTCGCAGCGCAAATCGCGGAGTTCATTTGTTTTGTGATTTGTCGAGTTTTCGTTCGTTTAATTAAATTATATTTTTGTACCTAAGCGTGGTATGGATCCCAAAAAACGAAAAGTGGACAGTGAAAATAGGAGGTTTCTAGAAAAATGGACTGAACAATATTGTTTTACGCTGTCGGAAAAGCCTCAAACAGTTCCAGTGTGCCTTATATGCAATAAAACTGTTGCTGTTGTTAAAAGTGGAAATTTGAAGCGACGCTATGAAACGACTCATCAGTAATTCCACAAAAACTTTCCTCTTGGCAGTGAAGCTCGTAAATAAAAACTTTAGGCACATCTCCGTTCTTACAATAAAACCACAAAATTACTAGTTTGCTGCATGAGCGACCAAGAAAAATCCACAGAAGCAGCGTTACGTATGTGCTGGATGTTTAATAAATACCAGAAACCATTTTCGGATTCTGAGGCAGTGAAGGAATGTATGTTGATAGCAGTCACGGCACTTTTTGAAGAAAAAAAGATGTTGTCGCTGGAATTTAAATATTCCATTATCAGCAAGAAGCAATACGCGAAGAACTGAAATTTTAGCTGCTGATATTAAAATCACCCTTTTCGAACTTCTGCAAAAGGCACCTTGCTACGCTATAGCACTTGATGAGTGATGTGACATTGATGATGATGAACAAATGTCAATTTTTGTCAGATTTCTTGACATTGAGTCTAAAACTTTTAGGGAAGAGTTGCTAACAATATTGCCTCTAAAAGGTAACACTCGAGGAGAAGATTTATTCAAGGTAATTGATGAATTTATTACTAAATCTAAGATCAGTTACGATGAAATTGTGTCGATTTCAACTGACGGGGCCCCAGCAATGATTGGAAAAAAAAGGTGTAGTAAAGAGAATTAGGGATAAAAATCCAGGCCTAATATCGTATCAGTGCATAATTCACCAGGCAGCCCTTTGTGGAAAAATTAGCGCTACACTGAAAGAAGTGATGGACAGCTTAGTGAAGTTAGTAAATTTTATGAGATCTCATTCTGCTCTTCAGCACCGAAACCGACAAAGAGTTTCTTTTTGAATGTGATTCAGCGTATTCTGACTTACTGCAACACAACAATGTTCGTTGGCTAAGTAAAGGTCAAGTTATTGAACGTTTTTGGCTAATAAAAGAACAAGTAACCTCCTTCTTGCAAAACTTAGATACGCAGGGAGCTAAGAAGCACCTTGAGTTCGTAACAAATAAGCGCAATATGCTGGTTGTGGCTTTTATAAAAGATATTTCGAAATATTTAAATGCGCTCAACACAGAGTTACAAGGAAATGGAAAATTAATATGTGATCTGAAACAAAGCGTGTCTGCTTTTCGTCGTAAGCTGGAAATCTTTGAAAAAGATATTGCAAGAATTTGTTCATTTTCCGACAATTTTGCAATATAAAAAGGAGAACTCTGAAGAAGACATTGCAGTGTTTACAACATTTTTGGCCGATCTTAGGAACGAATTTGCCACAAGATTCCAAGACTTTGCAGAGATGGGCAAGCTGTCTCTGTTTCTTAAGTCACCCTTTGAAGTTGATGTAGCAGCAGAATGGACAGATGTTGCAGCTAAGTTATTTAATCTGTCAAAGCCATCACTTCAAATGGAAATAATAGATCTGCAAGAAGATGTGTCTTTGCAAATATATAAAACTGTGTCAACTGAAGAATTTTGGGTCAAACATGTCCCAGTAAAATATGAAAATTGCAAAAAACTTGCTATCAATTTGGCCACTATGTTCGGTTCGACATATGTATGCGAAACATCTTTTTCAAAGATGAATTTCTTGAAAAACAAATATCGTTCGAGATTAACGGACGCTCACTTAGAAGACACTCTTCGAATTTGCTGTTCTTCTCGAGAACCAAACTATTGTTGCGCGGCTAAGTTGACATCTGACACTAGCGCCATCTAGTGTCGGGTAATGGAGTGAGGGGAGAGCTTTCCAGAAAATGACATCACTAATCTTTCAACCGACAGCGCCATCTGTTGTCGAAACGAAGAACTAAGCTTCTGGAAGCTGACTCTCGAACTTTCGGCGCTTTGTCGATTGGTGCGCGTATTTCTTGAATGTTCTGGATGATTCGGTACTAATGTGTATTTATAGCTAGTAAGCTTCGGAGCGGAATAATGTGATTAATTATTAGTGTTTTTAACTTTAATTAGTGTAAAGTGAATTAAAGTGTTAATTTAGGTAATTCTATCGGCAATTTTTATTGTCACGAACCTCAAGCTCGTAACACTATAAAAACCTAGCTCAAGACAATTCTACAATTTTTACAATTTTATAATTCAGAATTTTACTTCTACAATAAATAGCAGCCTAACACTTAATTATTATCAGTTGTTTTTTTTTCTGGACCTTGTAAAAATTTTCAAGGTTTATCCGGACCCTACCCAAAACTACTTGCCGACTCCTGCTATAAAGTATAGTTGGCAAGCCTAACTGCACCCGACTTTTATATATTTGCGGTTAGTTGGAATGGGCTGTTGTTTGCTTGTTTACGATTTTCCGAAAGTAATATATAATTTGTTATAATTATTCTCTTAGTATAGTTTATGCTCATGTGCCTTTTGAAATTATTAATTACTGTAATTGAATAAAAAAGTGTTTTAATTAAATAAATAAATAGTTCCAATTTTAGTCCGTAAACCCCGGCCGTTTTAGTAGTATATATTGTATTTATTTTGGTAAAAGCTTTTGTAACGGTATAGGCATTAAAGTGATAGTAGATTAAAGTGGTAGGTAATAGTAGCAACTACAAATATTTTACGTTGAGATTACGTTCTTAGATTAGATAATAATATCCTATTCATTTGTAAAAACCATAAATACTTCACGATATGAGCAAACAAATAATACACAAAACTATAAGCAACGGCGCCCAAGCAGCGAAGTAAATATTTTTGTTTAGTAATAACAGTTATTTACTTACAATATAAAACTGAGGCGAAGATATGACATAAGTAATATATAAAACTAACAGTTAATGTATCTTGTGTATCCTGAACGGCAAAGTAAATGCAAGAGACACTAAAGGTTAATTAACAAAAGTGTTATTAGCGTGTAATACTCAAAACACATAAAAATAATTCCTATGAGCGTACAAATTATGGTTAATTATTACAACTATTATAAGAAAATTAGCTTTAAAACCGCCGTTTAGACCAAATAATTCCTGTAGTTTTGAAATTTGGTACAAATTATTCCTTAATGTGTCCAGATGAATATATTAAAAGACCCCCAGGGCGGGATATGATAGCCGGCGGTGTGGGTGGGGGGAAAGATCTCTTTTTCAAGTTTTTTTGCTTGTGACTCGAAAACTATTTATAATATCTCTTTGGTGATTTCTACACTAATTATCTACATTAAATTTACTATAAATTATGTCCAAATCTTTTACTGTACGATATACACTTTAGGAGATACAGAGTATTACAAGTGATAAAAATAAGAAACTAATTCCTTACACAAATTTTAATTCTAAAAAATTATACAACTTTTTTGTACGAGCATGACGACTTGTCAATCAAATTGTGTTTCATCTTCGTCATCTCTATCATCAACATCGCTGGGGCCTTCATTAGTACAAGCTCCTAGGTAGCCGTTATAGATAAAACTACACTTTATGCCGCGTTTCGGCAACTGCATTTTCCGGAACAACCACTTTTACATCGACAAAAATTGAATTTAACAACACGACTAATAGCTGAAAGTAATGCTGACTGCACAATTATTCGCAGTGCAATTGATAAAGGTGAAGACAATCTTGTGGTTACTGTTATTGGAGAAAACATTGATCTTGTATTCCTTCTAATGGCTCTTACATCTCCAAAAAAATTTTTTTTGTCAAACCGGTAAGAGGGAAAGTAAACCAAAATATTTACTTACAAATAACTTCAAAAACATTAATTCTGTTGTTCTATTCTGTTCCTTAGTTTCAGTGGGTGCGATACAACCTCAGCTGTTTATAGGAATCGCAAAACATCAATTATCAACCTTCTACCTACTCTAATGGACAAGTCTTGTAACAAATATTACAACATATAATTAGTACGTATTTAAAAGGGTCTACACAGATATGTATATTTATTTAAATGATAATAAATTATAAGCGTAAATGAAAATATGAAGGTATTTTCTTCCTTATATTACAAAAATGTTACTTTAATTTTAACATTGTTATTTAAATTTAACAATATTTTCAAATAACCTGATTTAATTCACAAAAGTTTAAAGTAAAGTAAACAGTTTATGGTCGTCTCACTGCTCCTGTCCAATTAGGTTATAAAATAATTCACAAAAAGGGAGTAAATATATTTCAGAAAATTTAAATACACGCTAGAACGATTTTTATTGATATAAATTAAATCAGTTAGATCCAATGCCTGTTCGAAAGGTCATATAAATAACAATTAATACATTCCTACTTCAGCTAATGGATTTGCGCAGAAAGAGCTTACAGTATCTTAAAGTCTTGTCCTGTCAAGTGCAAAATGCAGGAGTACGAGTTCGTTTGTGAATGGGGTCTCTCTTACATAGGACATACAAAACAAGAAACCGCATATTACTGCATATCACAGCAAGACTTCAAGATACTGTAAGCTCGTTCTGCGTAGATTTGACAAAAATTTGCATTCAAAAACTGAAAGTAGCCGGGTTGACAATGACACAGGGAAGTCAAACACCTCAGTCACCGGCTTTCCCCTTCCCGTAACAATGGGTGCTGTAAGGCACCCGAAACTTTGGTGATATAAAAAGGTCAAATCGCAATCGCATTAAAATCAGTAAAATTTGTTTAATTTAATTTAAATACTTGTTTTCGAAGAATCACCCAAATACCGTCACATAATTTCACGTAATATACGTCAGGAAATAATAAGTCTGTGATAAAAATATAATTGTAGTCGTACAATTTTACATTTTTACACAAAAATGAAGTGCTTCGTTGCTTTCGAACCATATAATGTGTGCGTATTATTACGTAGATTTAATACGTCTATAGTACATCATTGCTGTAAGATCTATGAGTTTAATGCCTCATACTTAGTATTATTGGACTTAGCTGTAATGAGTTAATATTTTTTATTGAGTTAATATTTTTTAATAATTTTAATATTTTTCCACTTACAGTTATAGTTTTGATTTTTATATGTCTCTTAATACATTTGTGTGAGAATCAAGAAATATTAATTCAAGAAAATAATAAGTAATTATTCTCATGTATTCAGAGTATCATAACACATTGGTTCGAAAAAGGATCAGAAGTTACTTATGTAGACATAAGTTATAATAATAATGAACTAATTAAGTCAGTTCACGAAATGAAATATGTGTCTGTAATATCACGAACAACCAAGAAGAAAGTACTATATCAAAATGAAGGCTACATGATAACAGCTAAAAATTTAAGAGTTTTCAAAGATGAATTTATGTTCCTATTAATGGAGGAAGGTTGGAAACCGGATGTCTATTTTCTGATTGTTTTCAAAGAAATTGAATTATCAGAAATAAATGATGTACTTAAAATTCTTCTACATTATCATGTTTTTAAAGTATTGGTAATAAATGGAGCAAGTAATGCGGATGTCTACACGTACAATCCATTTGAAAACTATGGTTGTGGAAAAGTTTTCACTAGGACCATATCATACGGGAAATGTGCGAAAGCAAACATAACAAAATCATTTTTTTTAAAACCTGTAACAGGGCTTAAAAATTGCACATTTGAAGTAGGTTTTTATAATTTGCCGCCATACGTTATTAATCCTAATAAAGATCAGAGGAAAGAGAAACTTATAGGAATAGACCAATATGTTTTGCAAACTTTAAGTGAATTGGAACAATTCAAAGTTATATATACGTACAAATTTAATCCGGGAGAATTTTCTGGAATAGGAGATGACATGAGAGCTTCTGGTCCTTTAAGTTTCATTCAGAAAGGTGATATTGAGATAATGATAGGAGGATATCATTTGATGCATAAAAGATCAGAAGCTTTTGGGTACTTATATGGACATCATTCTGAAAATGATGGACTCATAATCGTAGTCAAAAAAGCAGGTTTAGTATCAAATTTCAAAAATACTTATATAGAGTTTAATGCCGTAGTTTGGACATTATTAGGCGTAGCATTCATATTATTTTTTGTGGTTTTTGTTAAAATATTTGATATAAGAGACAAATGTGGAACAATTTTAGTTATGTGGAACGTTTTTTTTCAACACGGTTTCAAACATTGGGTAATAAGCTAAAGTTTAGGTATTTTATGTTTATTTGGATTGTTTTTGGTTATTTGGTTAACATGCATTACCAAACAAATCTTTCGAGTCTTACAACAGACCCTAACTACGAATATCAAATTTCTAACGAGAACGATCTGGTTATCTTTAATATGAAACCATGTTTAAGTTCTAATGTAAGCAAGTTTTTACGAGTCGTATCGGAACTTGAGTTCGAAGAAGAAAACAGCGTAGAATGTGAAACTTTGTTGCAGAGCATTAGCACAATCAGCCAAGTTAATGACATGTATACTATAATTTTTTATTATTCTTATAATCACTATAAGCCAAATTTCATTGATGAATATGAAAATCCTCTACTTTATGCGTTTAAACAACCAATTAATAAGGTTATAATTGCTATATTATTTTACAAAGGATTCCCTATGCTAAGGCAATTACGATTGAAACTTTTGCATATTATTGAAAGTGGTTTGTTTGATAAGCATTTGAGAGATTTGTTAAACGAAGATGCTAAAATACACTATTTTTCTCAACCACAATTTCGAGCTCGTCTTATTATTCCATGGCATATTCTTGCTTTTGGTCTCACCCTGGCAACGGGATGTTTTGCAACTGAAATAATAATATATTATATTAGACAAAAGGTGAGAAACAAGGTTTTCGCTTTTTTAAATTAAATTTGTTACAGTCTTGAGTCGCTCAAGTATTATAAAGTTTTAAAAAAGAATGCTACTTTCATGTGGAAATACAAAAAAAGTATAGAAAATTTTTCTATTCATCTAAATCATATTTCTTTCCATCACATTATAGAGTTAATGATTGAACTCTGTAATGTTATGCGCAGAACGTCATATTGAATTAAACCTTTTAATGAAATATCTTAAAAGCAGTATGGTTTTTCTATTATAAAGCACAAAGCGCAAAGGTATAGTTTACTAGCGTCTAAGAATCGAAAATCCAACGTTTTATCGAATGAAATCGTATCTAATAATCATATTGAACATATAGATAACATAATGAGCACATTGTCAGAAAGATAAATTATTATGAACTATTTTTAGATCGATTAATTGCTATTTTTACTTTAAAAAGTAGTTTTAGTGGCTTATGGTGTAGAGTTATTAAGTCTGTGTGGAAGGATAATACAATTACTTTTGAAAATATAAATTGTTCAACTGAATCTATTTTTTAATCTATTCTTCTATCATGGAATGTAGTCCTTAGAATTAAAATAGCTGTTTAATTTTATTTTGCTTAGTTAAAATTATTTTTATCCGCTAAAAAATTTCAAAATTTTCGGGGATTGAGCATATACACATAAACACTCACGCCTGTCACCCAGAGAGGTAGGCAGAGACTACGGACTTCCATTTGGCACGATCCTGACATACCTCTTTCGCCTACTTTACATCCATATATCTTCGCATACATGCTCGTCGATTAATGGTATTTCTAATGTGGCCCATTTTCAAAATATCGCCAATTTGGTCGATAAACTTTCTTCTAGGGCGTCCCTTCCCAACTCTGCCGTTCACATCTACTATATAAATTTGCTTTGTCACTCTTACCTCATTCATTCTTTCTACATGACCAAAACACCGAAGCATTTCTTTCTTAATCCTCGTCACAACATCTACTTGCATACCACATTTATCTATCACGCAATTTCTCACCACATTTCTACAGCATTTATTCTACTTTCATGTTTCTTCTGCCACACCCAACTTTCACTACCATTCGTTAAAGTAGGGATTAACAAAGTATTATGAATTACCATACGTACCTTTTTTGACACATTCTGATTTTTCATAATAGAGTATAGTGCCCCATTCACTATATTCCCTGCATTTTCTCGTCGTCCTATATCCTTATCATATCTACCATCCCTGCTAAATACACATCCTAAATACACGAACTCATCCACTTGGTCAATCAACTCCCTTTTTATTCTTATTTCACTTAACGTTTTGCTTTCTTCTCTTTCAAAAACGATTACTTTCGTCTTACTTGCGTTCACTTTAATTCCCCTTTCTTTTAATGCCCAGTTAAATAGTCTACAAAGGACTGCCTGCTTAATGGCAACTGGAGCTATGCAATCATTGCCTGAAGCGGCCCTTAATGCACTTCTATGCCTAACGCCCCTTGATCTCTATCTAGACAAGGAGGCGAGGGCTAGTTTGTATAGGATTAACGCCCAGGGCGGTCTGAGCTTGCTCTCCTACATATTGAGATCCATGCTCGACTCAATTAAGGAATCACCGGTCTTACGCATGATCTCAGATATCATGCGTCCACTATACACCTTTGATAAAAAGTATAAAGTGGAATTACCCTCCAGAGAAGGCTGGCTGAATGGCCAGGTTATCTGTGAGGTCGGTAGCCTCATATGGTATACCGATGGGTCTAAAATGGGCCTCGACGTAGGCTTTGGAATTAACGGGGAACGCACCAAATTCATCACTCATCAAACTTAGTGAACTCGGAGCTAGTTGGAGACTGCGTGAATCGTTTAAACGCCCTGGGATGTAACAACAGGGTTTTTTTCTAAGATGTGTTCCGGGTCACGAGGGTATTCTAGGCAACGAATTTGCCGACAAACTTGCACGGGAGGGCTCAAAGTGCACACAATTTGGACCTGAGCCATTTTGTGGAATCTCAAGAAGCCTAGCCCGATTGACCCTTGAAACTTTTTATCACAATAAATCACTTAAGATCTGGTCTGACACACCAGGCTTAAAACATTCTAAAACCTTAATCTGGGATTTTGATCGTAAATTCGCTTCAGAAGCCCTGGGATTAAGTAAAAATAAATTGCGCATTCTGGTAAGAGCCCTAACTGGACACTGTTGTCTTAAAAAGCACATGTCCATCCTGGGACTAAGCGACTCAAGGATGTGTCGGTTCTGTTCCATAACGGAAGACACGCCTCTACACATCCTAACTGATTGCGGACGCGGATATATACTCCGCCCAGAAGAAGTGAATTTGCTCACGGCTAAGCAACTCCTTCTATTCATTGAAGACATAGGGCTTAGCCGTGAACTATAGCCATAGCAGCGATCACAATAGATCTTATAGGTCGCAGTGATACCGGTCTCTTTACCGGTCTGCATAGCTGCTCGCATATAATAAATAAATGCCCAGTTCATTAATGTAACCATCACTTAAAACTCAGCCGTCGACGACGCAAATATGGCTTGATCATTGGCGTACAAAGGCCATCTGACGGCTAACTTGCCCATTCTTAACCCACATTCTTCATCTTTCAAAGTTTGTTTGTTAACAACTGTCAAAAAATAGGTTGAACAGCCAAGGGGAAGCTTGTATAACTTCCCCTTGGACTTGGAGCTGCCCTGTCTGACACCTTTTTGAATTTTAAACCAGTCAGAGTAGACCCCGTTGATCCTGACACAAGCACTAGAGTCCCTATAAAGAGACCTTAAGCAAGACTATGAGGTAAATTTTTTAGAATCCTTCAAAGAGAATTAGTTTATTGTAAAAACGTTGTGTGCTTTCCTTAAAGATATTTTTCAACATACGTTATTCTAATAATAAAATAAGTTTCAGTATGTAATTTTATATATATTTTAATTATATCTACAACTATTTTTTTTTTGAAAATTCGTTTCGTTACTAAATTAAGCTTCTCTATATTAAGAGGATTTACTTCAAATGATGAGTTTCCGCCTTTACATACCCATCTCATTTATTTCTTATACTTCAATCTATTTTCTTCGCCGCGTGATCTGAATCTGAAAAATATCTTTTACTAGGTACAGAAACTATTGTAATAAGTTGTTAAAAAAAAATTAAACTGGAATATGAAAAAAATGAATTAAAAAAAGCTAATAATAATCCTAAGCAACTCTGGGGAGCAATAAACAACATAACAAACAGAGCGAAAAAGAAGAGAATTCATCCCATCACTTATTAACTCTATCATCTTCTCCGGAGCTATCTGTTAATTTAGTTAATGATTTTTTCGCTAACGTAGGTAAAAATCTTGCGGAAAAGATATTGGGTGGACTGACAGAGACAACAAAAAAAGCTTTTAACAACAACTCGCAGTCCATGGTATTGTTAGCAACGGATGAGGACGAGGTTGCAAGGTTAATAATATCTCTCCGTAACGACTGTGCTGTGGGTTGGGATGGAATATCCTCTCATCTCCTTAAAATGCATATTAATGTAGTTGTCCCACCCCTGACATATATCTGCAATCTTGCTCTCACAACCGGAAAATTCCCCAAAGCTTTTAAAAAGTCGATTATACACCCGATTTATAAGGGTGGGGACAGAGATCGTGCCGATAACTATAGACCTATAGCCGTGCTCTCTGCCTTGTCCAAAATACTTGAACGCATAATGAACAACAGGCTCGTAAACTATTTGGAAAAATATAACTTACTATCGCCCTCACAATATGGTTTTAGGTCAGGCAAATCTACGTCCGATGCGATTCATGACCTCACAAATTATATTGTTACAAACTTGGACAATGGGCAGAAAGTTCTCGGCATTTTTCTAGATCTTTCCAAAGCTTTCGACACGGTTTCTGTACCCATACTTTTACGTAGGATGGAGAGTATGGGAATTAGAGGTACACAACTGCGACTTTTTGAAGACTACTTGAGTGGACGTACTCAGCGCGTTCAGGTGGATAAGTTCGTCAGTGCCGAATGCACAACTACCTATGGAACGCCCCAGGGCAGCGTACTTTCTCCAACCTTATTTCTAATATATATTAACGAACTGGGTATGCTCACACTTCCTAAAGGGCGAATCATAAGTTTTGCAGATGATACTGTCCTCCTTTTTAGTGCAAGTACATGGCAAGAAGTCTATGCATACGCCCAGTTGGGCTACAACACTGTCTCAAATTGGCTTCGAAATAACGTTCTGACACTGAACATAGATAAAACATGTTATGTCCCGTTCAGATTAAAAAACAAAACATTAACCACATCATCTCTATCACATACCATCGTAAGTCACTCGTGTTGCAATCCACTCAATAATGCAGACACCTGCACACAACTACGTCAAGCTGACAGAGTAAAATACCTAGGAGTTATTATCGATAGCACTCTACGTTTTCATGAACACATTAATACACTTAATAGCAGGTTGCGTAAATTAATATATGTATTTAAAACTCTGAGAGACGCGGCAGATGATAAACTAAAGAAATCCGTATATTTTGCCTTGGCCCAATCTCTATTAACATATGGTATTACGTCCTGGGGCGGTGCTCCAAAATCAATAATGCTCCAATTGGAGAGAACGCAGAGAGCGATCTTAAAAGTCTCGTTTTCGCTGCCGTATCACTACCCTACAGAGCTCCTATATAAAGAGTTGAAAATATTAACTGTACGGCAACTTTTTATACAAAGAACCTTACTGAAACAACATGCTCTATTAAAATACAATCCCTCACTCTCCCGAGGGAAAAAGGCGTTTTAACCCCGTGGACCGCACTCATATAACTCTATCCACCAAACTATCTAAACGTTTCTTTTGTCACCTCGGAGGTTTTCTATACAATAAAATCAATAAAATTATCTCTATATTTAACGTCAATAAGACTACATGCAAAAATAAAATAACTATCTGGCTACAAGAATTAAATTATGATAACACTGAAAAGCTACTCACTAATCCTAACTAATTACTATCCGTACTAAAGTTAAATACTAACCCAATCCTAAATTTAATTTCTATCCCAGTTACTACTACACTACTAACAAACAAAAGCACGCACACACACACACACGCGCACGCACTCACACACACACACACACACACACACACACACACACACACACACACACACACACACACACACACACACACAGACTAATACTAGCACCAGATTTAAATATATATTAAATACTAGTTAAGTAAAAGAAGGTACATTATGTAAATTACAAATATGATACATGTACATGGTAAAAGTATTGTAATTACAACCATAGGGCGGAGACCTGGTGGCCTGAAATACAGGCGTAAAGCCTAGCTTAGGCACCAGTCTCCCACAGTATAACATTAAGGTGTAATATTCTAATATTATGTACAATAATTCTGTAATATTGTGGTGAGAAAATAAATCATTTATTATTATTATTATTATTATTATATTCATATACCACCACAACACGATAATGGATAATTTCTCAAAACATTTTATTTTTCAGCAACGTCTTGCAATCGTCGTTTCTCTAGCGCTCACTTGACTTGTTGATAATTATTATTTTTGGATAAGAACATGGTAATTTCCTCTAAAACTCTAAGTTATATTTAACTTCATTTAAAAAAATACTATCATTGGCCTAACCTACTGTAATCTTTGGCTTGACCATAGGTATGACTAATTAGCCCAAAACACTGTCGGGATGTTAGTGATTAAATTACTTAAAAAAATGACGTATAACATGAGCACTTAGTAATAATAATAATAACAATAAAATAACTGAGGTAACGGTTATGTGACAAAATCACTACGTCAGCGCATTCAGTCAGCACCTTGCCAAGAGGTGTTAGTGTCGTGCCTCGGCAAAAATTGAAGGTGCAAAAGCCCGCTTGTGCACATGGCCTCACCATGAAACGGCTCTGGGTATGGGCGTCTCCCGCTAAGCGACGCCCTCAAAATGGATGATGGAATTAAATAGAACGCGCAAAGAGCCGCTCTCTGGAGGTCGCCAAGGCGCGTCTGGAGCTGGCGCTGGGCGCGACAACATGCGAAGCGCCAGCCGAGTGCGAGGTGCTGCACGACCACCCAGCAGCCCCTCGCATCCATCATCCCCACCAGTTAGCTTCGCAGTCGGCAGGGTCTTCGCTGGCCCAGCAATCGGCACCCGCCACTGGTGGAGTACGCCGCATGCGTTGGACAACCCAGATGAACAGTAACGCATATTTAAGGGCGAAAGGGGAGAAACTGGAGGTTTTGCGTATCGGGCAAGGATGCATCGACTTTTTGCTGAGCTGGAGCCATCTGTAACCGTCAGCGAGCAAAACCTGGCAGACCGAGTTCGGTATATCTTGCGCTCAAATACATTTGATGTCACCGAACTCGAACGGCTACGACGTGAGGCTGTTCCTTCATCGGGTGAAAATGCTGCGGCTGAGGATGCGGTGCCACAACTTGCTGAGCAAACGGCAAATGTGCATGCCGCCGTGAATACCCTAGTTGTGGTTGATTCAAACGATGATGGAACAATCACGGAGGAACTGGAGCTAGAGTAAATGAGGAGTACATTGAAAGAGACGATTGTGGAAACGCGCAGTACGCCTCTCGAAAATCGACCGCGACTTCCCCGCATAGCGCTAAGCAAGCGAAATCGGGCTGTCGTGAGGGCTCTGAACCCAATGCTATTTGGAAGCCAGCCGGTACCTTTGCGAGATGGACTCAATTCTTTTTGGCGCCGCACTGGCAGTCTACCGTATTATAGGCGCCAAACTTTCCACGGCTGGACGCGCTACTGGACAAAGTAGTGCTATCCCAGCCTGGAGAATAAGAATTGAAGAACGTATCGCAAAGGCTAGAGCCCTCATTGGCAGACTGATATGCTTCAGGTCAGGCAATACCAGGCCAAGGATTGTGCGCACCGTCAGGATGGCGTTTGCTGGGACAAATGTTAGTTTGTCCCAGCCGGATATAATGCAAAAACTGACGGAGTGCATAGATGATCTGAAGCAGAGAATCGCTGCTTGGGGAAAGCGGATTCGGCGATATACCGAGAGGTCGACACGGTTCAACCAGAATCGTCTCTTCCGGAGTGATCAGAAGAGGCTCTATAAATCATTGGAGCGACCAATTGTAAGTGGAACGGGCCCAGCACCAAATCAGGCCGACACGGTTGCATTCTGGCGCAGCCTGTGGTCAGAACCCGTAAACCACAACGAGGGCCCTTGGACGGAAGTTGTGGCGAGTCAGTGTGCGGGTATTACGCCCATGGACCCCGTCATCATAACGCCGGATGACGTAGCTGAGGCGGTCCGTAGGGCCCCGAACTGTAAAAGTCCGGGGCTTGACGGGCTGAATCACTACTGGCTGAAGAGGTTCATGGTGTGTCACGCTGTGCTCGCCCGACAGTTTCAAGAGGTTCTCAACCAGAAGTCACTCCCAAGCCTCTTCACCACTGGGATCACTCATTTGGTTCCTAAAGATCAGGGTGTCACAGACCCGAGCAAATACCGCCCCATCACGTGTCCATACAAGACACTAACATTCATATTGAGCGCGAGAATCGCTCGTCAGCTGGACTTAAATCAGGTGATGTCGTGCACTCAATATGGATGTCAGGACGGCGGTCGTAGAACCAAGGAACCACTCCTCATTGACGCGGTCATTGGAAAAATGGTGAAACGCAACCGTTGGAACTTCTCCGCCGCCTGGATAGATTACAGAAAGGCATTTGACTCGGTGTCCTTTACATGGCCAAAGAGGGTCCTCGAGCTGTACAAGATTGACTGTACAGTTCGAGACTTCCTCGAGCAGTGTATGGGGCAGTGGAGTACGATCCTCTGTCATTTAGGTGAGCGGATGACGGGGTATATTCCAAGGCGACTGTCTGAGTCTAATCTGATTCTGCCTCTCTTTGAACCCTCTCAGTACTTTACTGGAGGGCTCCGGGAGGGGATTTCAGCTTCGGAAAGGAGGTACAAAAGTGACCAACCTTTTCTATATGGATGACCTCAAATTATTCGCCTCCAGTCGCTCCCATCTTATGGAATTGCTAAACATCACTTGTGAATTTAGCAATTCTATTAGAATGGAGCTGGGGACGGATAAGTGTGCGGTCCTCCATGTTGAAATGGGAAGGGCTGCCAACTCTGAGGGCATAGACTTATCTATGCCCGTCAACTTAAGGACTCTTTCCGAGGCTGAAACATACCGATACCTGGGTATGTCACAGAACATCGGTATCGATGAGGCTGGTATGAAACAGTCAGTTTGCGACGTATTTTATGCACGCTTCACCAAAGTGCTTAACAGCCTTTTGTCCGGTGTGAATAAGACACATGCATATAACGGTTGGGTCATGCCTGTCCTCATGTATACCTTTGGCATACTCAGGTGGAGTCAGACTGAATTTAACGCCCTGGATGGAAAAGTCCGCACTACAATGACGTCCCATAGGATGAATTATCCGAGATCGTCGGTAATGAGGCTTTACTTGCCGCGAAAGCATGGTGGGCGTGGCTTCTTGAGCGCGCTCGCCAGGCAAAGTGTGCAGCCTCCTTAATTACTTCCTGACGAGATAGGATGTTCCATTTTATAGGTACGTCATTTCTTGTGATAAAGGACTTACCCCTCTATTCTTAGCCAACGAGCAATGGCAAGCATTTCCGACCGGGAGACCGTATGGAAGGAGAAGGAGCTCCAAGGGAGGTACTACAAGGCTCTTCATGAGCCCCACGTAGATACAGCCGCCTCCCTCAACTGGCTAGGGTTGGGTGACGTCTTCGGGGAAACCGAGGGTTTTGTCTGTGCAATACAGGATCGGTTATTATGACCAACAACTATCGGCGATACATCCTAAAGGATGGCACTGTCGACGTCTGTCGAGCTTGTGTGTCATCTCCGGTTGTTCGGCACTTTCTAACTCTGAGTTAGAAAGTGCCGAACAACCGGAGATGACACACAAGCCGTCTTAGTTCAGGAGCTCGCTCTGAAATACGGTCTCGTGGAACGAAAATTGCCGTATTACAAGTACTTTCCGGAAGCCGTGCTCGAAAATGACCGCGCCAGGCTCTACTGGTACCGGGCCATCATCAGACAGGACTAATCTTGCGAATAAGCCTGATATTGTGCTGATGGACCGGGCACAGTCAAGGATATTTTTGGTCGATATTACCATTCCGTATGACGAGAACCTCGTGAAAGCCGAAACAGATAAACGAACAAAATATCTGGACCTGGCTCACGAGGTGACCGACATGTGGGGTGGTATGCCGGCCGAAATTATTCCTGTAGTCGTCTCTGCGAATGGGCTAATCCCAGTCAGCCTCTCGGGTCATCTGAGGCGACTGGGACTCCGTGACGGACCGCTCCGGGCTCAAATTCAGAAGGCGGTGCTCCTCGATACCGCCCGCATCGTCCGCCGGTTTCTTTCCCTTTCCTCCTAACCCTCGGCCGTTTGGTCTCCCCTGCCGAGGGCTCCCATCTGGTTGGATCTTATTTATTTATGTAGTTTTTATATTTTTTTATTGATATTTATGTATATTTATCTCTTCACTTTAATTTATAATTATATATTTATAGAACCCAACCATGGGAGAAAATTATATAGATACCCCAATAATAAAATAACATAACAAAATATCTGGACCTAGCTCACGAGGTGACCGACATGTGGGGTGGTCTGCCGACCGAAATTATTCCTGTAGTCTTATCTGCAAACTGGTTAATCCCAGCTAGCCTCTCGGGCCATCTGAGGCGACTGGGACTCCGTAAAGGACCGCTCCGGGCTCAAATGCAGAAGGCGGTGCTCCTCGATACCGCCCGTATCGTCCGCCGGTTTCTTTCCCTTTCCCCCTAACCCTTGGCCGTTTGGTCTCCCCCTGCCGAGGGCTTCCATCTGGCTGGGCTTTTATTTATTTATGTTAGTATATTAAATATATATTTAAGTATATTTATTTTTCCTTTTATATATTTATCCAGTCCAACCAGATGTGATTACTCTATCAATAACCCAAAATAAAATAATAAAATCCTTTATTACGACCAACAATAGTAATAGATTATTAGTAAAACAAAACTTAACCTAACAGTTAGGATAATATAAAATAGAAATTAATATTAAAATGCTAATAACAATGATACTTATCCTATATTAGTAACTAAGCCTACACCCAGCCTCACGTTGCGAAACCTTTTTTTAAATTATTTATCTTGATTGTGTCAATTTATATCGTCTTGCTATGATGCAAAAGTTACCAACGGGGACTTTAAATTTCTAAGTGAAAAAGAAATTAATCAATTTGATGTAATGAGTGTTCCTGATGGTAGTGATATTGGGTATATTCTTGAAGTAGACTTGCACTATCCAATTGAAATTCATGATGATCATTCAAATTTACCATTTGCAGTAGAAAATTAATAGCTAGTTTGTACGATAAATGTAAATATGTTATTCATTATCAGCATTTAAAAGAATGCTTACGTCATGGACTCATTTTGCTCAAAGTTTATAGGATATTGTTATTTAGTCAAAATGCATTTTTAGCATCATGTATTTTATTTAATACAACACTTAGACAAAACGCTGTTTCTGACTTTGAAAGAGATTTAAAAAAAAACAATTGTATTTTTGAAAGATAAAAAATAATAAACGAAAACAGTGCGATGAAAAATTGGTTAATGTATGGAAAGATACATCCAATAAGACTTATACTCTATTGACTTAGACTATGTGGAGCTGAAAAATATATCAGTGCTCCTTATTTTAAAAATTTCACATTCATTAGTAGCAATCCAGTTAGAACTCACAAAAGTTATCCTTGTTCACTTAATTTACATTGGGTTTCAATTATGGATATAGCTAAGTCATTTATACCATTTTTATTATTCTACAATGAAACGCATGTATGAAAATTCGCTGCAACTCTGTTATACTGATACTGATAGTCTGCTGTATCTAATAAATACAAATGATTTTTATGAAGACATGAAAAAATATTTAAAATATTTTGATACAAGTTGTTACGGGCAGCAAAAAAGCAATAATTCTTCTCCCCGCACAAAACTGGCCCCCGCCAGGACAAGCGCTTGCACCAACTCTGTGTCTTCGTAACACCGACCGTAGAAATATAACAAGCGCTTTTGGCGAGATTTCGTCACTCACGCGGCTACGGCTCTCAAGACGTAATAAGCAAGAAAGAAGCCCGTCAAGCTCCCTATTAGGTTCATATAAAAATGAAATAGTGTTTTGGTATTAACTGCCGCAATTTAATTGTAAATAGTGTACATTATAATTATTATTTAGAAGTTCTTTAATTTCGTCTTAACCCCTGCTAGTTTAAAATAGCAATTATTATCAATTCAGTTATTGGTTATACAGATGTCACAGTTATTAGTTTTCTCATTCACAGTAGTTCAGTTTCTCCCTCAATAAAACATAAATACAGTCCACTTAGCTCTCATTCCCTACATTTCTTTGGTCCACCGTCGCCGGATTGAAGAAGCATCATCGAAGAAGATCATCATCGGTTATCGGTCAAGATCGTCCGCGAAGAAAGAAGATAGAAGATAAAATCTCTCCCTGTTTCTCAGTCACCGTCACACCGTCAAGGTCGTTAGTCGTTTTAACGACTAACCGCGGTAAGAACCGCGTTTACGCGGCCAGCCGAATACCACCTAACGGTGACAAACGGTGTTCGTCTGGTGTCGCCCCCTGTGGCGGGAACGGCTACCCATACGTGCGTATTTTTGAAGACGATCGGAAGCCGCAACGTGGGACAGCCAGAAAGGACGACGAAGCACCGGTAGGAGCACGCTTCTTTGAGGAAGGCCCCGCGTCCTACCACCTACACCTTCCAAAATAGTACCATCATAATACAAATGTGACAAGCCCTATGATAATTTTACCCTATGTCACTTCCAAACTAAGAAGAATCTGACGATACTCCACAATATGTTAAAACCATCAAGCCACAGAACGTGCCAAAGAAATAGGCGTATATACTGCATAAATACATACGTATATACACACATTTATACACACATACACACATTAAAACGTGCATACTTACATACATACTTAGATACATAAACTCGAAAAACACCCCACCAAATTGCCCTGCTTTTATCGGCACTCTGGTAAGAAAGGGGGTCAAGTTCAATTTAATGCATGTTGGGTTTCTTTGGCTTCGCCCTCATACATATAAACTAGCCATCAAACTAAGCTCTGCAGCTTATACTGTAAATAAGATTAGTAATGTCACTACTTTCAAGACACCTGATGCTGATTTGGAAGCTACTTTTGTTTTGCAGAAATGGATCATTATTGAAACCCATAATTGAAAGAAACTTCCAGAGAAAAACTTTAAGAAATAACTATATTAATTTCGGGCTCATAGTATAATTACAAATATAATTTTAAAAAACATTGATAGGCAAATCTTTACCAGTCACCCGCACGCCGCGGTAAAGGTCGGCTGTGTTTGAGTTGTTACCGCGCTCTGTGCGTCGTTGCACAATGGCGAATACTATAAAATGTGTCGCCTGTAATATTGTGATCGATGAACTACTAGCTTATGTTCATAATAAATTATCTGTTATTGACGAGGAATCATTGAAACGAATATGTGTTAGCGCGTTTACTAGCAGTGAAATAAGCAAATCGAAAACGTTATTATTTGAATCGCTACCCACGGATCAGCGTAAAATTACAAGAAAAAGGAAAGGAAAAGAAGAAAGAGACTTGGATGACATCATTTGCGTGCTTAAAAGTGTAGATCCAGAAAAAATTCCAATTTTTGTGGCTAGGGAACTCGAGAAATTACCCCCTATTTTATTTGATCATCTCGATTGCACGAAACTATTGAAAGATTTGACACGACTTAATGCGGAGATCGAAGAGGTTAAAAACACCTACGCTACTGTAAAATAAATTGAAGATTTGCGATCTTACGTACATAACTTAAAGTACGAATCGCTACCACCGCCATTAACTCCTGCCAAGTATGTAAACATGAGAAGCGGTGGTGCTTGGAATGTCGATAGCGGCCCTATTGGGTTAACTTTGAGCCATAATAACACATCGGACGGAGACGACTTACAACAGTTTCGTAATAGTGTGCAAAGCAACTGTGAAAACGATGTAATAAATTGTAATGATGACGTCATAGTATGCACGACATTATCTCCTGAGATGGGCAATAAGCATGCATCGAGTACGGCGGTGGTGCCTGCACCAGGCAAGGTGGAGCGAGTGGCGGTGGCGAGCAGCTGTGAGTGCAGAGAGGAGGTTCGAGTTTCACCGTTACCTCCAAGTGCTGGCCCAAGTACGTCTACACAAATATTATCTGCGCCCGTATCTAACCTAAGGCAGAAAGGTCAAGAGACGTCGAATATTCAATCCTGTCATGAAAACAAAGTGATTAATGACTGGCAAATGGTAAATAAGCGTAAGACTAAGCCGAGATATAGGTATTTGGGCGAAAAAGGAAAAGCAGAAGCGTCTGTTTCATCGTTTAAAGCCGCTGATAAGAACATGCCTATTTTCATAACCAATGTACACCTTGATACCGTGGAGTCTGACATTGTTGATTACATAAGGGCGAAAACACAAGTAAGAGTGACATTGGAGAAAATAAATATGAAGAAAGCAATAAATCATAAAGCCTATAAATTCCTGGTGCCGGAGTCGAAAGTTTCTATATTTTTAGATGAGAAAATATGGCCGGAGGGGATAATATTTAGGCGATTTGTGCATTTTAAAAATAGACGAGCTGACACAGTGAAGTCAGCAGGCGGCCCTTTGACCTCTAGGAATGGATAGTACGACCTACAAGTTTGCTACTTATAATTGTAAAAACGTCAAGAGGGCGGTCAGCGATGTCTGTCAATTATGTGATGAGTGCGTGGTGATAGCGCTGCAGGAGACGTGGCTGCTGCCAGATGAACTGGCATTTTTAAGTAGCATAGATAGCAGATTCAGCAGCACCGGGACGTCGGCTGTGGATACGGCAGCAGGGTTATTACGCGGAAGACCGTACGGAGGGACAGCGCTGCTGTGGAATACCACTGTGTTTCCTAGTGTTACGGTAATAAGTTGCGATAATCCGAGAGTGAGTGCTATACGTGTCGTCACGACAGTGAGTCCGTTTATTGTGGTGTCTGTGTACATGCCGGTCAATAAATTAGTCAACCTGCCTATATTCACGGACTGCTTGGGAACTGTAAGTGCTATCAGTAATGAATATAGTAACGAACCTATTTACGTGTTAGGGGATTTTAACGCTCATCCGAATGAATTATTTTTTAAGGAACTAAAAAGTATATGTAATGAGTTTGTATGGGTACCTGTAGATATAAAAATGTTGGGATTGACTTCTGATACTTTTACCTACATAGATCCAGCTAGTGGGTCAAAGCGTTGGTTGGATCATTGTGTGTTGTCGCAATCAGCGGAGTCCTCTGTGGGCAGTGTGTATGTCAAGTATGACATACTATGGTCGGATCATTTTCCTGTTATTTGTGAATGTAATTTGGGATGCCTGACTCCTATTAAAATTACTCCTATTAATACTGTTAATAAATTGGTTTGGGGGGAAAGAACATCAGACCAAATTTCTTTTTATAGAACTGAATGTCATAAACGTCTTAGGTTGATAGATTTTCCGTCTGAATTTGTAAAATGTGCGGATAAATATTGTAATGACCCAAAACACCTAGTTATCGTCGATAAATTGTACTCTGACATCGTGCTCGCCTTATCACAAGCCGCCGCGGAGGGCCGGGGGGGCGAGCGGAAGCAGAGTAAGCTGGATTGCCGCGCTAAATATATTGCTGGCTGGAATAAACATGTCAGTGACAGTTACGGGAGGGCCAGGGCGAGTCTTCAGGAGTGGTTGCTGTGTGGGCGTCCTACCAAAGGAGATGTATACAAAAAGATGTATGAATGTAAGAAAATATTTAAATCACGTCTTAGGTGGTGTCAAAACCACCAAGACCAGATAAAAATGGACATACTTGCCTCCAAACATTGCAAAAAAGGACTTCACAGGTTTCTGGAAAAATACTAACCATCTGAGGAGTCGGCCTGGTTTTCCTGTGACTGTGGATGGAACAAATGACCTCAAGGGTATAGCTGACAAATTTAAAAACAATTTTATTGTCAAATCACCTCTGGGACCGTCAATATCACAGGCTACAGGAGGGGTGAGCGGGGGAGTATCTAAATACCCGAATAAAAACTAAAGATGTGTTGAAAGCAATACAATCTATCTCAAAGGGTAAATCCCCCGGGCATGATGGGTTGAGTGTGGAACATGTACAACACGCTGGGCCTCATATATCTAGGGTGTTGTCCATGTTGTACAATCTTTGCATATCTCACTCTTACCTGCCCGCGGATATGATGAAAACTGTTGTGGTACCAGTGGTGAAAAATAGGGCGGGAGATTTGTCAGACATATCTAATTATAGACCTATATCCCTGGCAACTATAATAGCAAAAGTGTTTGACAGCATTCTCAATACACATTTAAATCAACACATACAGTTAAAGGACAGTCAGTTTGGGTTTCGTTCGGGGCTGTCCACTGAATCTGCTATATTGTGTTTGAAGAGTGCTGTCAAATACTACACTACAAGAAAAACACCTGTTTACGCTTGTTTCCTTGACCTTTCGAAGGCATTCGACCTTGTGTCTTATGACATACTATGGAGGAAGATGAAGGAAGCCCATATACCGGATGAACTAGTACACATTTTCAAGTTTTGGTACGGGAACCAAAGTAACAGCGTGAAGTGGGCGGGCACTATGTCAGACCAATACAGGCTGGAGTGTGGTGTGAGGCAGGGTGGGTTGAGCTCTCCTTCTTTATTCAACCTGTACGTTAATGAACTGATTGAGGCGCTCAGCAAGCAACATGTCGGTTGTCATATAGATGGCGTTTGTTTCAATAACATTAGCTACGCGGACGACATGGTTCTGCTGAGCGCCTCGGTCTGTGGACTCAGAAAGCTTCTGAGAACGTGTGAGGATTATGCAGCTGGTCAGGGGCTGATCTATAATTGTAAAAAGAGCCAGTGTATGGTCTTTCAGAGTGGTTCTAATAAGGTGACGGAGATGCCTTCTATTCTACTTAATGGAATACCGTTAAAGAGAGTATATGAGTTTAAATACTTAGGCCATATTGTCACCCCCACACTGAGAGACGATGCTGACATTGAGCGGGAGCGGAGGGCGCTGTCGGTCAGAGCGAACATGGTGGTCCGGAGGTTTGCACGGTGTTCGGAGGGAGTGAAAGTAACTCTTTTCAAAGCTTATTGCACTTCCTTTTACAGCTGCAGCCTGTGGACTGACTATGCGCAAATATCGTACGGTGCCCTACGCGTCCAGTTTAATAACGCGTTCAGGATGTTGGTGGGGCTCCCCCCGGTACTGTAGTGCATCGACGATGTTCGCGTGTGCACGTGTGGACTGTTTTCACACTACAATGCGCAAGCGAGCAGCGTCACTGGTACGGCGAGTGCGGGGGAGCCACAACAGCATGCTGACCGCGATAGCAAGTAGACTAGATTGCCCCTACATCAAACATTGTTGTGGCCTACACATTGTGCACAGTAGGAATTAATATGACATGTGAAGGGAAGATTAGGTATTTATTGTGAGTGTTTATTGTTTTTAATTACTTTTACATTGATTTATGATATATTGATTGAGATTTTAATTTGATTATTTTAATATTTTAATTTTTATTTTGATTTCAATTTAATTTAATGAACCTAATGTAATGTAATTTTTGTAATGTGACTGGTGATATAATTATACCCATATGAGTCTGTGTTACTTGATGAATAAATGATTTATTATTTATTATTATTTACCATGCAGCAGCTGCTTCTGCCGTGATGGAGGTTTGCTTTGCGGAGAACAACATTGACTTGTATAATTTACAATAAAAATATTAAACTTTTAGCTGTTCTAGAGTACTGCAATGATGACCTGGTTACAGCATAAATAGAAGAAGTTGCTTAGCCTTGAGCAATTTCACTTCTTCTAGGCGGAGTACATAGTTTCCCAGATGAATGCTACGTTTGCGCATTAAGGGTCCGCAATTAGTTAGAATGTGCAGAGGTGTTTCTTCCGTTATGGAACAGAACCGACACATCCTTGAGTTGCTTAATCCCAGGATGGAAATGTGCTTATTGAAACAACAGTGTCCAGTTAGGACTCTTGCCAGAATGCGCAATTTAGTTTCACTTAATCCCATTACTTCAAAAGCCCGGATTAAGGTTTAATAATGTTTTAAGCCCGGTGTGTCAGACCAGATCTTAAGAGATTTATTGTGCTCTTTGTCACTTTGTTTTAAGGGTCAATCAGGCTAGGCTTCTTGAGATTTTCCAAAAAGCTTCTGGTTCAAATTGTGTACTTTTCGACCCCCCGCCCCCCGTGTGAGTTTGTCGGCAAATTCGTTGCCTAAAATGCCCGCGTGATCTGGAATTTGTTGTTGACCCAGGGCGTTTAAACGGTTCACGCAGTCTCCAACTACTCGTAGCTTCGAGTTCATTAAGATTGACCTCAGCGCTAGCAGTGCTGCTTGACTATCATGGTTATAATCCAAAAAATATTTTAATACAAGTTTAAACCAAGACTAAATGGTTAAGGTGTGTTACAGTATAAACGTTAATACCAGAATCAAAATGTTTGCTTATTACAAAACGCAGATTATCCGAGGACCCGTTCGTACCAAAGTTAGTACTGAAAAAACAAAAAATAATACTGTTTCATTCGTTCATACGGATTTCATTCGAAGCACCGTCCTGTTACTATAAATATTAATGTTATTATCACGCTTGATATGCTTAAATTATCATTTATCAATACAAATATATATCATAACTTGCTATTTGTTAAGGTTGAAATATGTTAAATAAGAACAAGTTATATCTAAGTGGTTTTCAATTTTAACAGCTTTATCGTGAAAAGGAGTGAATTACATAGGTACCGCTAGCAAGTAATTCGAGACGATTAAAAATGTCTATGTTGCTCCCATAGAATAAATCAATTTTCTTGTTATTTTAATTCATTGTTCTATTCTAAGTATAGTGATATTGCGTCAGTTAGATTTTGTTCGGGAGAGTGTGTGTGTGTGGTTAAGTAGCAATCTACTTACATAAAAATGAAATAAAAACGGGCTGAAAATTGGAGTTTTAAATAAAACGTTAGTGAAACATTGAAATTTATTTTAATAATAATCACGCTTTGTATCATTCTTATTTCGATTAAAGCAAATGTTCTTATTAATTGAAATACTGCATACAGTTATTAATTAATCAGCACATATTATAGAGGATGAAAACGCCGGTAAATGTGCAATTAAAAATGTTAGTACTTAATGATTTTTTAATACAGTTGCTCAAAAATTGGCGTATTGCAGGGACGTATAGCGTTTGAGATGTGGGCTATTATATACTCGATCTTTTTCTTCACCTTTTCCGAACTCGTGCGTTCTCCTTCCTAACTGTCAAAATAATGTCTATTAAAAAGAAAAAACTAACCACAAAATTTTTACTAAAAAAATTCATAGAAGTTTTTATGATTCATGCAAATATTTCTAAAAAGAAGCTACTAATTTGTTTCAATATCAGATTTAATGATTTGATTCAATGAGTTAGGTTAGGTTTCATTTCATTTTATCTCACTAAATTTCATTTTCATTTCATATCAATAAAAAAATTCTACTGAAGACTTGGCTGTATGGGCATAGTTCCCTTTGCCTACCCAGAATGGGTGAAGAAAACAAAAAAATCTGTGCTTATCATAGACTGAGAAACCTATATACAAATTGACGCCTTCTTTCGCTTTCGCACACGAAAAAGATAGATTTATACCTACGTCTTGTATAGAAATGAGACAGAGTGGTGTGACTGATTGTCCCTTTCTCCATGCCGGTTTTTTTGTTTGGCAAACTACACTTTGCTAAACAACTTTGACGGTTCGTAGCGATCTAAGGAGTTTATAAGTTGGTTTAAGTGAGAAAGAAGTGTTTTGTGAGCTTAAGATTGGTGAATCTTGTTCAGTTCAGTTCCTAGAACAATTAAAATTTTTATCTAAATATGTTCAAAAGTCATAAAGATTATTGTATAACCTAAAACTACGTCATCATCCTTTCTCACTCGAGGCCACGCTAATCATTAGTTTATTGGTTTCTCTGTCTACGGTGCTTATATTATTTTACGGTTGGCGCCATTTTCCAATAATGGTCTTTGCGAGATTAGTTGTTTGATGCACAAAATGAGTAATTTAGACGAAATTTTATTTGAATTAACACCACCGGAACTCACAAAATACTTCGGAGAACATTGTACCGGAAAAGTCAAAAAGTTGCTACATATCTACATACGAGGAATTTATTGCTTGGAGAGAAAATGTTATTTGTTTTCAGAAAATGTTATGTATGCGTACTTCTCCCAACTCTCAGCAAAGTTAAAACCTTCTACGTTACGATAGAGGTTTTCGATGATAAAAAGTATGCTAAAAATAGGGAACAACGTGGATATAAATGAATACCCAAAAGTAAATGCTTTCTTAAAACGACAATCAGACATCAGAAAATATTAACATCGAATGACGTGGAAGGGTTTTTGAACGAAGCTCCCGATGATCATTATTTAGTCACAAAGGTAATTTATTAATAAATACTTATATTTTTCTATAGCATTCAGTTTACAAAATCGCAAAATACAGTCAATATATTATTTAAACCTTTTTTTTACGTTGCGCTGATTTTTGGCGTTGTTGGAGCTTGCCGCAGAGAGGAGATAGCCAATATTACTTTAAAAGATATTGAATCCCATGGAAAATCACTACTAATCAAAATTCCAAATACAAAAAATAAGATATCGAGAAGCTTTGGTGTTGAAGGAGATTTTCTTAGAATAGTGCAAAAATATATGAATCAGCGGTCCCAAAAAGCAAAAACCGACCGTTTTTTCCAAAATTATCAAAAAAGGGAAGTGTACAGCTCAAGCAATCGGGATAAACAAATTTGGTAATATGCCAAAAGACATAGCTACGTTTTTTCGTCCGCTGGATGCTGAGTATTATACTGGGCACAGCTTCAGGAGGACCTCTGCTACATTATCGACAAATTCAGGAGCCAATTTGAGGTCCTTAAAGCGACTAGGAGGTTGGAAGTCAGGCAAAGTTGCAGAAGGCTATATTGCTGATTCATTAAACAACAAACTAGAAACTGAAAAAAATCACACAATCCATTAATTTAAAGTCCAGTCCGTCTCCTTCACATGACAATACTGAACAGAACGTTCGTCCATCTACCTTCGTTGATAATGATAATTCATCAGATCCATTTCCAACAACTAAAAAAAATTATTCCCTATTTGTCCAAACTTACAGGTGGATTTTTTTTCAGATTTATAATATGGGAGCGCTGAAGTAAACCAATTACGTTATTCTGGTTTTACTGTGGATATAGTTCTTACAAAGAGGCATTGAGTTGCAGAGCTAAGAGCTGTGGGTTCGAATCCCGCAAGGAACACGTCTTTGTATGAACTAAAATTATTGTATCTAGTTGTTAATTAAAAAACTACATACCACGTTCGATTTTGATTCGTTCACCATCTCTATTTAGCCTTTACTTTTTGTATGATATGTAAATAACTATTTAAAATGACTGATGGCATACAGAGTTACAACATCAGCGACTTCCGTCCGACGCCACAGACTATACGAATTCAATTACTGTTCCAGTTGAGATTGTTGTATTCAGATATAAGCCTATCGTCCGAGGTACTTATGCAAGAGTATACAATCGCTTTAACACACTATTGAAAAGTCGCAAAAGATCTAGCAACAATGAGTAAAAACATACCATTTAAATGTAATGAGTTAGTAAGTAAGTTAGAAAAGATGCATTTAGAAAAAATGCACTGATACATGCCCCTTACATCCACGTCATATAATCCACGGTTCAATAAAGAGGTTTCCGAGAATACAACAATATCACTACACATACAAACGACTTGCACTTCTTGCAAAATGTGTTAATTTCTAGAATACAAATTTTACATTTACTTTATAGAAATTGAAAATAAATAAAACACGTCATTGACAAATACAATATTTTATTTAATACAATACTTTATTTTATTTATATCCCATACTAAGTAATGACGTAAATAAAATTTCATGGTAATCATTTCTAATTCATCCTAAAAAAGAGAACGTAAATTTTCTATTTGTTTTGTTACAATCCCTTAACTGTGGCACCGCACTTTTTTCCAATATTATGGTATTTATTTATTCATATAACTTCATTTACATAGTAATGTCTTTATACCTGAAGCATCCTCAACCACTCTACGTTGAAGTAGTGTAGAAATGAAAAGAAACAGGTGTAAAATAAGTAGTAAAAGTAAAATAAATAGGGTATACATATCTATTTATTATATGTACGAGTATGTAAACATATGGATATAATAATATATATAAAATAAATATATATATAAGACTCATAGTTAATACGTAAAAAATTATAAATAGTGTATACATAATGAAAATTTTACTCGTGACTTGAACATAAAACTGTATTCGGGTTTCGAAAGAATTTCCTTCTGATTTCAAAAGAATAGAATGAAATATAAAAGAGAATAATATTTATTCAATATAAATTACACGTAATTCTTAGTTTTTTTTATTTTGTACTTTACGGTTCGGAAAAAACTCTGTCTTGGGATGGACCCACATGAAATAATAAAGAATGTTTTTCTTTTCTTTGCCTTTAATAAAAATACATCGGGACTTTTCTTAAAGGCATAACATTCCGGATAGAATATATTATACAAAGAAGAATAATTGGATAAAGTCATTGCTATAAGAGGGCTACTGTAGCAGAAGGTTATTTTTAGAAAGAAGAACGTTGTTAGGTAGTATTAAGAGTTACAGAGGGCTGCTAATGGTTAGTAAATACCACTCCAAGACCATTTCAGGTGCGTTGCCGGTCTTTAGTCATAAGTACTGAAAACTTATTGTGTCGATGTGGAATATCAAGCATTAGATGACAGTTTTTTTTAGATCTAATTAAACTTTTACTATATTTGTGTTTAGTATGTAAAAATTACAAATAAAATGAAACTGATTGATATTCCTTACCAAAAAAAACATATTTAAAATTATCTTATTTCCTATACTTAAATCCTTTGTTAAAATATATTCGTAAGGAGTCCAGCCGAAGGCAACCTTCCTCCTAAACTCCTTCCAATATCTGCTGCTAAATAGCATTGCTTGCACTATTGTGTTCACGTTTGAAGTGTAAAGAAAGCCTTGCATATCAGGCTCCGAAACATTTCAAATAATTCCTTAGAGGTGTCCTGAATAATTGGTTTACCATCGACTTAGCTCAAAGTTCACTTCTGTTTTATTTAAAATAAATGAAAATATGAAAAATATTTATATAAAAAAATTAATACCGTTGGTAAGATATTTCTATATTGTTTTTAGTTTTATATTTCTATATTTCTATATCAAAAGCTTTAATTCAAGATAACGTTCCGCGAATACCATTGCAGAGGTCAAAAATTAACCCTATAATATGATGGAAAGAAATGTGATATAGATGGAAAGAATAATTTTATATCCTCTTTTTATAAAAGTAACTTTCTTTCTTAAATCTTTATAATACTTGAGCAGTTCAAATGATAAAAATTTAAGAAACAAAAGTGAAAACCTTGTTTCTAATCTTTCGTCTAATATAATATATTATTATTTCAGTTGCGAAACATCCGGTTGCCAGACTAAGACCAAAAGCAAGAATATGCCAACAACAACAACAAGCCCGAAATTGTGCTTGTGGAAAATAGTGATTATTGGCATCTTCATCTAACAAATCTCTCAAATGCTTGTCAAACAAACCGCTCTCTATAATATGCAAAAGTTGCAATCGTAATTGCCTTAGCGTAGGGAATACTTTGTAAAAGTATATTGCAACTATAACCTGTTAATTGGTTGTTTGAACGCATAAAGTGGAGGGTTTCCGTATTCATCAATGAAAGTTTGCTTATAGCGTTTATATAAAGAATAATGAATTATAGTATACTTGTCACGGACTTGGCTGATTGTCGAAACACTCTGCAACAAAGTTTCACATTCTTCACTGTTTCCCTCTTCTATCTCAAGTTCCGGTAGGACTTGTAAAAGCTTGCTAACAGAAGAACTTAAGCATGGTTTTATATTAAAGATAGCCAAGTCGTTCTCGTTAGAAATTTGATACTCGTAGTTAGGACGTGTCGTGAGACTCGACAGATTTGTTTGGTAATGCATGTTAACCAAATAAGTGAAAACAATCCAAATAAATATGACATACCTAAACTTTAGCTTGTTACCCAATTTAGCACCATGTAGAAAAAGAACGTCCCACATAACTAAAATAGTTCCACATTTGTCTTTTATATCAAATATTTTAACAAAAAATACAAAAAACAATATGAATGCTACGCCTAATAATATCCAGACAACGGCATCAAACTCTATAAAAGTATTTTTCAAATTCGATACTAAACCTGCTTTTTTGACTACGATTATGAGTCCGTCGTTGTTGGTATGGTCATATAAGTAGCTAAAAGCTTCCGTTCTTTTTTTCACCAAAAACAATCCTCCTAACATTATCTCAGCATCACCTTTCTGAATGGAACTCAAAGACCAGAAGCTATCATATCATCTCCGATCGCAGAAATTTCTTTAGGTCGACTTTAGTAGGAATATACAACGTTGAATTGTTCCAATTCGCTTAAAGTTTGCAAAACAAATTGTTCAATTCCTTTAATTTTCTCTTTCCTCTGATCATTATTAGGATCAAAAACGTATGGAGGCCTATCTGTAAAACCTACTTCAAATATGCACTTTCTAAGTCCTGTTACAGGTTTGTAAAAAAATGATTTCGTTATGTTTGCTTTCACACATTTTCCGTATGATATAGTCCTAGTGAAAACTTTTACACAGCCATAGTTTTCAAATGGATTGTATGTGTAGACATCCGCATAACTTGCTCCATTAATAACCAAAACTTTAAAAATATGAAAATGTAGAAGAATTTTAAATACGTCATTTATTTCTGATATTTTAATTTCTTTGAAAATAATTAGAAAATAGATATCCGGTTTCCAACCTTCCTCCGTTGATAGGAACATAAATTCGTCTTCGAAAACTCTTAAACTTTTAGCTGTTATCAAGTAGCCTTTATTTTGATAAAGTACTTTCTTCTTGGTGGTTCGTGATATTACAGACACATATTTCATTTCGTGTAATGACTTAATTAATTCATTGTCGTTATTATTTATATCTACATACGTAACTTGTGATCCTTTTTCGAACCAAATTGTAATGATATTCCGAATACACGATAATAATTCCTTATTATTGTCTTGAGTTAATATTTCTTGATTTTCACACAAATGTATTAAGAGACATATAAAAGTCAGAACTATAACTTTAAGGTGGAACTTATTTAAATTATTTCAATTCCTACCTAACTAGCTTAAATAATATTAGGCCTGAAGCGTTACTCTCAACGATCTTTCATTAATTTATACTATAGACGTGTTACATCTACGTACACGTACACACACGTTGTATGGTTGACAAAGAAATGAAACACATAATTTTTGTATATAAAATTGTACGACCACAATTATATTTTTGTCACAGACTTATTATTTTCTGAAGCGTGTGACGTTACTTGATTCTGAAAGTATGTGGCAGTATTTGGTGATACTTCGAAAACATGTGATTAAATTAAATGAAACTAATTTTAAGGATTTTATTGCGTTTAATTTGAACTTTTTACATCCCCATCGTTTCGAGTACTTAACAGTTCCCATTGTCACGGGTGTTTATGATATATATACTTATACGCCAGTATATTACAAATTTATGAAGAAAACATATTTTTGAATTTTAAAAAAGATTTAGTTCTTTTTTTGAGAAATGAAGTTGACGTTTATATGTCAATTTTTATTATAAAAGGCACTGAAAATATAGTTAAAAATATAGACCAAATTAGATCATACACTGTTGCGGATCGTTTTATTTACCAACAACCCTTCTAGTGTATCAGCAGGACAACAGGTCAACTACATAGGTCAACTAGTTAAGCTAGTAAACATTGGTCCTTCGAGCCGGATATCAGACCCAGATTAGTCAGAAGTTTTTGTTAATAAGCGATGCCAGGTTTGGACCGCACGCCATAGTGCTCGCAGTGGATCGCTGCTGCAAGAGCACCGCACACCCTGCAAAAGCGGTAACAGCTATGTCCAGCAAAGTGGACAAACTCAGCTGCACTGGGAGTGTTAGTTCAACGTGACGTCACAAAGGACGCCTTGAGTAGTACAACGCCAGTTCAATCTTCGAGTTCGTCAATAGCAGCCGGGTGTCGAAGTTCAAGGTGAAGCCGAAGGGGAACGCCGCAATACAATATCAGCTCAACCTGTGTTTGTGTTAGTGAAATGCAAACATGAGAACAATTTAGTTATTTTCATAGGAGCTGTGGCAATTTCTTACTTATTTGAATATTGTTTTCAAGGAAGATTTTAACTTGTGCATGTAAAATCTTCTCAGACTAGTTTTATAAAAACAGGGAACCTATGCCCGATTTCTGTAAGAGTGTATTTTTGTTTATAAACACTTCTAAATTTTCACTGTTTTTGAGACTTGAAAAATTCGCAAGCTTTGTTTAGTAAAGAAACTTGTTAAGTTTTACGTTTCTATTTAGGTTTTTCTATTACAAAGTTGATATTGTGTTACATTCATATTGATAAATTTAACTTTACACAAATAAT